CCTTGTCATAATCCTTGGACAGACATTTGAAAATTATGAGGCATATTACAATGAGGATAATGATTAAAGTACACATTTGTCATATTTTTCAAAAGAGTCCTAGTTTAGAGGACAACAAGGAAGAGTTTTCGAGTGTTTCCATTTGATATATATGTAGTATCCAAGTGGTCTTTGCTGTGAGGCTCGAATTTGAGCTGTCTTGTTCACAATTAGTGCTGCAACTCGAGAAAGTCCCCACTTGAAGAGTATGTGTGCTGATCAGAGAGACCACCTCCAAGAATAAATAAATAATGAAACAATTATACGTATAAAAAAAGAGTTTCAGACCAAATGCCAAAGACAAACAACAAATAGCCTTCTAAGCTCAGGAAATCCAGGCCAAAGTCCTGCCATTTGTTTTTGCCTTGCAGATTTCTCTCTTGTAGAAGTCCCCAAAATATGAAGATTTCTGCTCATGTCAGGAGACTGTCTTTTTTATTTACCTGACAAGGCTGCTCAGAACATAAGAATCATTAACCTCTGGAGGAACAAAGAAGAGAGAAAAGAAACATATTTGCATTTTACTCACAGAGGGAATTTACTCAATTGCTGTCAGTCATTAGTAGCTTGAGGGGAAGGGCTTTGCTTTATCTGGAAATCACAGATCAAACCCAATAATATTTCAGCCAACAAAATCCATAAACTCTAAAACTATATTTACAAGTTGTTTCAGTAGCTCATCTTTTTTGTTAAACACTTTTATGATGCCATCAGGTTTTTTAAATTAGGATTTAAAAATTTCCTTTACCAGCTGAGCCACAAGGGAAGCCGCCTGGGTTGGGAAGATCCTCTGAGAAGGGAACGGCTACACTTCAGGATTTTGGCCTGGAGAGTTCCATGGGCTGTGTAATCCATGGGGTCGCAAAGAGTCAGACATGACTGAGCAACCTTCACTTCACTTTACGTTTCCTACCCAGTTGCATGGTATAATGTGAAATTGATCGAAGACCAGAGCTTCTCAAAATGGTCTTCCCTATATGAAGCACTTTTGCAAAACCATCCGAGTACAAGAACTCTCTGTGAGTGACTTAAAGATATGGTGACACACGTGAGCACAATGTGATGGGCTAAGAAACTTGATTACAATAACGAGAATTATGACTTGGTAACATCAGGACATACCAGGTTTGTCGGAATTCCTTAATTTTTAACACATCTCTATTAATAGCAACCATCCACAGTAGAACTCTAGAAGACTTACATTTAATGATGTTCCCCATGGTATTTAACACACCAGTGATGCTAGTCAATCTAATATTTGCCTCTGAGCTGCCTAACAGTTCCTCTGGAACACTCAAAGTTAGCTAGAGAAAGCGACTTACCATCTGTTCTCCAAGGCAGCTCACTATTCCAGGAAAAGTTTGTTCTGTTAGTAGAGAGAGAAAGCCAAATTCCAGTCTTGTACCAGCTTACTATGAAAAATAAAGTTCTTTACCTAATTAAATTAAATTTAACCTTAATCAATCCTTCCATTTTTAAAAACGTTTATCATTTTTTGTATCCACATGATATGTCTCTTGTTTTTCCTTATCCAAATAAGCAAAATTATCCTGTTGTTATAGTTCAAGACAAACTACTGTTATTTTCTATATCTTCTTTTGACAACAAACATACATCTACTTGCATTCCAGTCTCTTACCATTTTTAGTAACTGTAAATACATTGTGTTTCTAAAATCCCTTACAACTTAAAACCAAGAAACAAGCAATTGAATTGGATTTCTTTTTACAAACATTAGATTTCATAAAGTATATGACAGACATATTTCACAGCACAATTTTTCTTTAGGTGGCACAAGATGTGTGTTTAATGAACCCATTTAGTGTTTTCATTTGTAAGAAGGTAAAGATAAACATGCACTTGTTCAGTGGTCAGTGTTTCAGTGTTTTATCTCACACTGATTTCAGTCTTCAGTGCCTTATCATCACTTTACTGAATTTAGCAAAACCCTAAAGTTCTAAATTCCCAAGAATTCGGAAAAACAAAATATAACTCTTGAGATTACCTAAAAATGTCTCTACCGTTTATCTCTATTATTTATGACAATATCATCATAGTTAATTTTCTTGCAGTCAAATTTTGTAACAGATAGGACTTTTTGACTCGCAACAGAACTAAGTGCAGTGAGTGTTGATGACAATGTTGGTGACTCATGTCTCCATAAATTCACACACGGTTAAACAACAAACTAACCTGGGGTCCATACCAGAAATGGACTTAATATTGAACATTTCCCAGATTCTGTGAACCTTAAAAATACTTTATTTGTAAGCGCTTACTTTTCTTTAAGTCAATTAAATGGAGCTCATTTAGAAATGAATCTCAGGAATATTAACTAGAGACAAAGACACAAACTGAGTCATACGTATATTTAGATAAGATTAGGTCTCATTTTTTCATCAGCCTTGTTTGACTGTTCTCCTTTCCACATTTTCTCACTTCTCTGATTAAATTCATTCTTCTTTTTTTGTTTTTTCTAATCTCGATGCAAGACATGTGGGATATTCATACCCCAACCAAATATTCAGCCTTCACCCCTGAATTTGACTGGTGGAGTCTTAGCCACTAGACCGGCAGTGAAGTCCCTACATTTATTCTTGGTGAAAGTTTTCTTTACAGACAAAAGGCAAGCAGAGGACTTGGCTGGGGGGTTATTCTGGGAAAGCCTCAGAGGGTCCTGCTTGGTTACAATCTGTCCCTTCCCTGGTCTGCCCCTGGCTGGAGTTTCAGCTCCAGGAGAAGGAAGTCAGCACAGAATCGGGCAGACCACAGGAGAGTTCAGATGTCCTTTATATCCTTAGAGTGAAGGCTATATGTTGTTAGGGGGCTCAGTGATAAAGAAAACGCCTGCAATGCAGGACAGGCAGGGAGCACGCATCTGATCTCTGGGTGCATAAGACCCCCTGGAATAGGAAATGGCACCCCAGTCCGTATTCTTGCTGGGGAAAGCCCATGAACATAGGAGCCTGGTGGACTACAGTCACAAAGAGCAACTGAAAAGGCCCACAGGTCATCCATTGTCAGGAGGGTAGAGCTGGTGTGTTGCTAACAGCAAAAATTCTGTTTCTCAATTTTTGTTCGTGTTAGAGCAAACTGTTGTTGAGGAACCAATAAAGGAAGATAAGCTGGTAATCTCTGTCTTCTGAATACTATTATAATCTTAGGGGTGACTCCCCAGGTTCAAATCAGTGTTGTTGGTTAGGCAGGCAGAGTTGGGATGTATACATCAGAAGGAAACTGAAATCTTAGCCGCAAACATCCCACAATGAGTCCTTTTACACAATAATGCATGATGCTGTCTTGTTAAGACTTCACAAAGATAGCATAGATACTGAACTGATACATAAATAGAAATTAAGCCATGATGACTTCAGCTAGTTGGTGACCAAACTTCTTAAAGACATATATAATCTTATTCCTTAAGCAACTCATGCCTAACGGGTTCCATGTCACCAAATCCATCTGGTGTAGGACAGAGAGCAGCAACCATTTGACTAGGTGTTTGAGCAACTCACTGAATGGCCTCCAGGCCAGCCTCAATTCATCCACTTGTAATTTATTTTCTACAGATGTCTATAACATCTCTGTGAGAAGGTCAGCAACTATATTTTCAAGAGTTTCTTTGAGCTTGTTCTTGGTTAAATAAATCAGTGTCTCCATGCTGAACAAGTGAGCGTTTCTGTTTCTTTTAGTCTAGGTCCTGAATTTACTCGCTCTGACAGACATATGGGAAGTCTCCATCTCGTAGAGGCTGTTTCTTGGCTATTGCTTATTGTGCTGTTGGATACCTACTTTGTTGCTATCTACAGTACTTTCTTGAGTGTATATGAATGGATATAAGAAAAAAGTTTTTATACTTTTATACTGTTTTGTTCTAGTGCATCTATCAAAAAAAATTGTAATATACACAACTTTCCTGGCCAGTAGTGGATATAACAAAAGAGCAGCAGAAGGATATTTTGAAACTAGTGGTTTCTAGTGGGAGAGCAGGAGCTTAAATATGGTGGGGAGGAGGAGGTACAAACTTCTGGGAGTAAGATAGGCTCCCCTGTCCATGGAATTTTTCAGGCAAGAATACTGGGATTGGGTTGCCATTTCCTTCTGCAGGCGATCTCGCCTACCCAGGGATCGATCCCATGTCTCCTGTGGGTCCTGCAGTGGCAGGCGGATTCTTGAACACTAGTGCCAGCTGAGAAGCCCTAAGAAGCCTCAAGGATGGATCGTGCAACACGGGGAATATAGGCAATATTTTATAAGAGCTGTAAATGGAAAGTGCCTTTCAAAATGGTCAGTGAAATAATTTTAGAATTTAAAACGACGGGAGTTGAGCCTGTGTGTGTGAGTAAAGGCTTCCTGGACTCGAGCCCAGGGGAAGTGAGGGAGGCCAATGGTGAGAGGTCTCGGAGTGGGGTCTAGAGTGTGGGACAGAGGGCAGGCTTTCCAGGCTCCAGCTGGGACCAGGCTGAGAAGGGCGGGGTTTCTCTCTGAGGGGGTCTGGCTGGGGCCTCCAGCATCTGGAGAAGCTCTGTAGGAAAGCGAATGCCCACCTTGGACGTCAAAGTCATGCCTCAGTCGCCTCTGGGAGATGCTGATAAGTGTGCGTAGGTGAAACAAACTGAGACCTCAGTGGAGGGAAAAGGGATCCAGGGTCCAGGGAAGGGGCGGCACCGAGGACAGAAGCATCTGGAACACAGGGAGGGGCAGGGAGGAAAGGGAGGACAGGGCTGACCCAGGAGTGTGCAGAGCCGGAAGGGCATGTGACCCACCAGGGTTCTTGGAATCCTAAGTCAACAGACATTGATAAGAGGCCAGACAGGATATTCAGACAAGGTTTTACTGCACCTCTGGGTGCATCAGGAAGGGAGTCAAACAAGTGACAAGATCCCTTGTTTGCTCCTGGGGGGTGAGGGGGTGTCAGGGCGCGTGTGGGAGATCTGGTGCATTAAGTGGGGTGAGAGCAGGCTGGGTCCGGCATTGGGCGGGAGGGCTGAATGCGAGGTCTGTGCAGCCCTTGGTGGTGCTGTGTGAGGCATCACGTCCAGGACCCACTTTAGTTCTCCAGCTCTGAAGGGTGACTGGAGTTTTGATCTTTTCTTTTTTGATCTGGTGCATCACTTGCCCCCGCTGCTCGTGTGTGTAGTGATTGTTAGTCCCTCGTGGTTTCCTTGCTGTCTGTGGCTCAAGAAGCTGTGTGTCCACGAGGAAGCACTGCAGCCCAGGTCCCAGCGTGTCTGAAATCTAGAACCTGGAGAGCGGGGAGGGGGGGAGAATGGAGGATGGGGCAGGCCTAGGAGTGTGCAGAGCCCAGAGGAATCTAGAAAAGCCGGGGATGGGGGACGAGTTTAGGGGGCGAGGGGTGAAGAGAGGGGCACTGCCCTGAGGAGTGGGAGGGGAAAGTCAGGGAGAGGATTAACTCTGATCGGAGGGGACAGACGGGGCTGCCTCCCCAGTTTCCGTTCTTGAGGCAAATAGAGGCCTCAGGTGCATCCAGCGCTGTTGGAACCGCCAGCCTCCTGGGCCCCGCCTTGGGAAGCACAGAGCATCTTGGAGTCCACACCGTGGTCCACACGCTTCCTCCCGGGGCGGTCCTTACACTCCGGGGGCGCCTCCATGGCGCAGAGCTTCTCCTTCTCTCTGTTCTGACCCTGTTCTGTCCCTTGGTGACTGGTGCCCGGGCCCTGTGCGCCCCGACCCCTCTCAGGGCCGCCCCGGCTCCTGTGGCCGCTCCGTTGAGGTCGGGAGTCTGTCTCCGCAGCCCCGGGTCTGCGCCGCAGCGCCGCGCCTGCTGCCGAGGACGCCTCCTCAGGGCTCCCCTCCGGAATGCCCCGTTGGGCCCCTCGCAGCCTTCCACCCACTGGGACTCAGGTCCCTCGGCCCTCCTGCCCCCAGGACCCTGTTCTTCCAATGGCTCCTGGCTTCTCTCCAGATCTCCTTGCCAAAATTGGGCCTCTGTGTACTGGGGCCAGAGTACTTCTGAGAGAGAGAGTGTAAAGTGAAATGGAAAAACCAGCTTTACAGCTTTGGCCACACACGGGGGACCAAGCAGGCTAATGCCCTCAAGACTGTGTCCTGGGACTTCTCTGGGGGTCCAGCGGTTTAGAGTCCACCTTGAAATGCAGTGGACCTGGGTTCGATCCCTGCTGGGGAATCTAAGATCTCACAGCCCAGGAACAGCTGAGCCCTCGCCCCATAGCTGGTGAGTCTCTGCGCTACAAGCAAGATCCCACCAGAGGTAGGGACTATCTCGCACCTGCAAATCAGAACTAAGGCAGCCAAATAAATAGATAAATAAATAAAATATTAACATAAATAAAAGGCTGTGTGTCTGGTCCTGGAGGGGTCTGAGGAGTCTTATGGTGTTCAAGGAGCAGAGCCTGATCAATGCGAGTTCGCTTTTCTGTTGGGTCTGTGATGAGGTCTCGGGGAGCAGCAGCTTCACCCTTGTGGTTCCAGTCGGTCTCAGGTCTTCGTGCTTGTGGGCAGCATAGTTCACTTCTTCCATCTGGCAGGGGTTTCAGATTCTGTAAAAGGGGTCAAAGGTCCTGGCTCCAAATATTACCGATAGCCCTTGAGGAAGAGCTAAGAGTCCATGAGTCTGTTTAATAGCTACGATATTATTATTTTCACTTCCTTGACAGTTTCCTTTCTTTCTGTATTGGCTCACTTCTATGATTAAATATATTGTTGATTGAAGTTGTTTTTCATAGATACGAGGCAGGTGCACATGGGTGGGGATCTACGAAGGCCTCATAAGTTCCTTCTTGGTTCCAGTTCCAAGGGGACTCAACTTATGTAATTTGAGGAAAGGACACAAGAGCTGGAAATAATCTCAAGTTCCAAGCTTCATTAGCATCAACAGTTTGTGTTGAGGAAATATTATTTCTCTCTTTGATTGCCTTGTGATAGCCCTTGGACCAACATTTGAAAAATATGAAAGCATATTACCATGATAATAATGATTAATGATTTGTGATATTTTCCCAAAGAGTCTTCCTATTTTAGAGGGCAACAAGGAAGATGAGTTTTTGAGTGTTTCCATCTGATAAATATGTAGGGTCCCAGTGGTCTTTGCTGTGAGGCTAGAGCTTGAACTGTCTCATTCAGAATTAATGTTGCAACTAGAGAAAGCCTGCGCTAGCAACGAAGAGCCTGTGCGCTCCATCAAAGACCCAGCCTCCAAGAACGAGGAAGTAAGTCAATCATGAAACTATATGTACAAAAGAGAGTCTCAGACTGAATTCCAGAAAACAAGGAACCAACACCATTTTAATCTCAGGAAATTGAGGCTCAAATCCTGCCATTTGATTTTGCTTGCAGATTTCTCTCTTCTAAAGGGCCCCAAAATATGAAGATTATTGCAAATGTCAGGAGACAGTCATTTTTATTTACCTGATAAGGCTGCTCAGAGTTCAGCATCTCTGACTTCTGGAGAAACCAAGAGAGAGAAAAGTAACATATTTCCGTTTTACTCACAGAGGGCATTTACTCAGTTGCTGTCAATCACTAGTAGCTTGAGGGGAAGGGCTGGGCTTTATCTAGAAACCCAACAGATCAATAATATTTCAGAGCAAAAAAAAAACAACCCATAAACTTTAAAACTATATTTACAAGTTGACTCAGTATTTCATCTTTTGTTAAACACTTTTATAATACCAGCAGGTTTTTTAAAAGGAGATTTTAAATTTTCTTATCCAGTTAGTTGCCTGGTATAATGTGAAATTGATCAGACATCAGTGCTTGTCAAAATGGTCTCTCCTATGAATCTTCTTGGGCAATGAAGACCTTTTGCAAAACCATCAGAGTATAGTAACTGTGTGCGACTGCCTTAAAGACTGAAAGTCATGGTGACGCACCTGAGCAGAATGTAAGCGGTTAAGAAACTTGGTCACAATAACTAGAACTGTGACTTGGTAGCAGAACTTGGTATGCCCTGGTATGTCCTAATTATGATGTTAGGACCTACCAGGTTTGTAGTAATTCCATAATTTTTTTTCATCAAATCTCTATTAATAATATCCATCCCACTTTAACCTGAGAAAGCTTCTCCTTCACTTGATAATGCTCCCCATGGTGTTTAACATACCGGTGATGCTAGTTAATCTAATATTTCCCTCTGAGATGCCTCACAATTCCTCTGGACCACTCAGAGTTAGCTAGAGAAAGAGACTTACCATCTGTTGTCCAAGGCAGCTCTATATTCCAGGAAAGTTTGTTCTGTTAACAGAGAGAAAACCAACTTCCAGTATTATTGTAGCTTACTATTAATAAAAAAAAGTCATTTACTTAATTAAATTATATTTTATTTTAGTCAATCCTGAACTGTACACAATTCTTGCTAAAGTCACATCATGAGAAATGCTGGGCTGGAAGAAGCAGAAGTTGGAAACAAGATTGCAGGGAGAGAAATCAGTAACCTGAGATATGCAGGTGACACCACCCTTATGGCAGAAAGCGAAGAAGAACTAAAGAGCCTCTTGATGAAAGTGAAAGAAGAGAGTGAAAAAGTTGGCTTAAAGCTCAACATTCAGAAAATTAAGATCATGGCATCAGGTCCCATCACTTCATGGCAAATAGGTGGGGAAACAATGAAGCAGTGAGAGACTTCATTTTTTGGGGCTCCAAAATGACTGCAGATGGTGACTGCAGCCATGAAATTAAAAGACGCTTACTCCTTGGAAGGAAAGCTATGACCCACCTAGAGAGCATATTAAAAAGCAGAGACATTACTTTGTCCACCAAGGTCCGTTTAGTCAAGGCTATGGTTTATCCAGTAGTCATGTATGGATGTGACAGTTGGACTGTAGAGAAAGCTGAGCACTGATGAATTGATGCTTTTGAACTGTGGTGTTGGAGAAGACTCTTGAGAGTCCCTTGGACTGCAAGGAGATCCAACCAGTCCATCCTAAAGGAGATCAGTCCTGGGTGTTCATTAGAAGGACTGATGCTGAAGCTGAAACTCCAATACTTCGGCCACCTGATGTGAAGAGCTGACTCATTTGAAAAGACCCTGATGCTGGGAAAGATTGAAGGCAGGAGGAGAAGGGGATGACAGAGGATGAGATGGTTGGATGGCATCACCGACTCAATGGACATAAGCTTGGGTGGACTCTAGGAATTGGTGACGGACAGGGAGGCCTGGCACGCTGTAGTCCATCGGGTCGCAAAAGGTTGGACACAACTGAGTAACTAAACTGAACTGAACAGAAAATGTATAATAGATAATATTATATTATATTGTATTATATATAATATATGCTATGTAATCTATCTTATGACATACACATTATATATTATATAATATGTTATATATTATTTAATTATATAATGGGATTTATAGTATATATAATAATTAAAATATAACATGATAATAAAGTATATGTAATATACTTTACAGAGAGTAAAGTGAATATAACAAAGTATAATAATAAATCTTATTTTATATATTATATATTTGTTTTATATGATACTGATATATCTTATATGTTACATATCATATATTTTATATCATGTATTTTTATATGTGATAATAGGGTATATATTTATATAGATATTTATATCATGTTTATATGAATATCATATTTATATTTTATATAGCATTCTATTTTTATATAAATTTATATTTATATTTATTTCAATAATTGACTAATAATTTAATACAAGTATATATTACATATAAATTAGTGTATTATTAATTTAGATATAACATATTTATTTACATATTCTTATATATGTATATGTAACAACTTATAGTATACATTTACTTAGTTATATTTACATATATAGTTATATTATATCCAATATATAATATATATATCATGTATATAATATATAATTTTATTTTCATTTTTAGTATAGTTATATATAATCCATTTCAATTATATATTAATATTAAATAATATTGTTTATGTTATATAAATAATACAGTATATATATAATAGCTTTAAGAATTCTAATAATAAAGTATATGTAAATACACTTTATATTTATATAAACTAAAGTATGTATAATAAAGTTTAATAATAACTATATGTAATATATTTTGATATATAACATATATTACATTTTACATGATATGTAATATATCATTATAGATCACATATCATATATTATATGATATATATAAAAGTATATAAGATATATTTAAGCAATATGTGTACAATATATATATCAAGTTTACAAAGTATAATATTATATTTAATTATATTATATTATTTACAAAGTATAATATTATATATAATATATATACATAATTCTTATATATATGTAATTATTTTATATAATATAGCAATTGCATATGATGAAATGTAAGATGTAAATTAATATATCTCTACATGTATATATTATATATTTATACATAAATTTATATGTATAATCCTCTATATAAATATGTGTTTTATTATTAACATATATGTTAGATATATTTAATGTACTTTGGTATACATTATATATTTGTATTTCATATATACTAAGTATATTAAATATATCCTTATTAGTATGTATAATATTATATGTAATAGTAATACATATTATATATAATTTTTAATAAGTATACAATTGTTTAATGGAAATTTAAAAACGTTTTCAATAAATTTTTATAAATATAACAAAATGTTACATATAAGATATAATAATTGTAATATGATAATATAATTATAATACACAACAATTATAATATATACATACACATCATATATTTATATTTTTATATATTTATATATTCCTATGTCATAATGTCATATATTATTTTATTATTTTTATATATTGTGTTTTCATTTTCATTTCATTTATTTAAATTTATTATATTTTATTTATTATTATTTATTTTTACTAGATGTTAAATCATATCACATTTTTAAAATGCCTTAAAACTTAAAACCAAGAAACAGGCAACTGAATTTTTTTATCAACAGTAGATTTTGTAACCTATCAAACATCCATATCTTAGGGCACAATTTTCCTTTATGCCGTACAAGATATGTACTTAAGAAACTCAAATATGTTTAGTGTTTTTTCATAAAAGGCAAAGGTAAGTAAACACAGACTTGTTCAGAACTCAATGTTTCAGTATTTTATCTATGCCATTTATCTCAGTTATTTATGACAATATAGCAGTGTGAGTGAACTTTCTTGCTGACAAATTTTGCAACAAGTGTGACCTAGTGACTTGCACTAGAACTCAGTACAATGAAAGAATGTTGCTGTCTCCTGTCTCTAGCAATAGACACAGTTAATCAGGCTAAAATGATGTCAGTACCAGAAAAAGACTTCATGAACATTTCCCAGATTCTGTGACTCAGAGATACAATATTTGTAAGCGCCTATTTTAAGTCAGTGCAATAGAGCGCATTTAGAGCTCTATATGTGAGAATATATAATATAATCTCTATATAGTAATCTCAGGAATATTATCTAAAGACAAAGACACACTGAGACATACACACGAGCAGAGATCGGTTCCTCATTTTACATTTCATGAATCGGGCACTGCAATTAAACTTGTCATTTCATGAAAAAGAGAGAGAACAGTCAAATGTACACACTTGAGGTCAAAGGCTTTTTCTTCCCTCCTCCCACCCCCCTTCCCTGGCTCAGTTGCAATTCTAAGTAAGCCAAGGCTGAGACACAGGCAATATGGGCTGGGTTTGTATAAATACTTAGGGACATGGTGATGGTAGGGGAAGCACACTGATTGAAACCGTTCACCCTGGCCAGGCACCATAGTAACCATTTGCATGAGTTGTTTTCTGACAGGAGATCCTGACAAGGAATATGGAACTAATAAGCCACCACCAACCGGAAGAGTTTGGGAAAGGTCAAAAGGAGACACCGCGTGTCTGTCCACTTCCAGAATCCCTCTCGCTAGCATCCATCTTGGCTGAGCGATGCGTGTGCAACCAGGAAAGACTCTGAATTAGAATGATTGGCCAAAGACTACCCAGAAACTAATCCCATCACCATAAAACCCAAGACTGCCAGCCACCGTGGCAGAGCAGTTCTCCTGGGTTCCCTTACCCTCCTGCTCTCCACTTGGGTGCCCTTCCCAATAAAATCTCTTGCTTTGTCAGCACATGTGTCTCCTCGGAAAATTCATTTCCGAGTGTTAGACAAGAGCCCAGTTTCGGGCCCTGGAAGGGGTCCCCCTTCCTGCAACAGTGAGGCTTAACATCAACTTTCCTCCTTGGAATGTCTTTGTTCTCTCAGGGTAAGTGTTCTAAAAAACTGAAGTGTGTTATCAAGTCACTCTCTCCAACAGCACATGTAGGAAAAAAAAAAAAACCTTCTGAAATTTCAAAAGAGTTTCATCTCAACCATTTTCTCCAAAGTCTAAAGAATATTGTCACTACATAGTGTTAAACAATTTTGTCCTTATTGATAGGTTTAAACGTGTAGGTCGAACAGTGGGAATCAAAGGAGCATTTCCCATTTTTGATCAGACAACTATGAACCAAATGCAAACCGACCTCATTAGCTGGTGGAAATCTTATACCAGGGGAAAGACACCAGAAAGCATAAAGCTCAGAGTGGCTGCTTCCAATTCCTGCCAAGTCCTTGCTAGACAAGCAGCCGAGGGCATGGGGATGATAAGTGAAGCCCCTGTTAAAGCTCTCATATTGGCAGAGCTGCCTGAGCTAATGCTAGACTCTTCAAAGTACACTTGAGAGGGTAACAGGCAGGAAGGCAGGGGTCTCCAAACGGAGGAAATAGGCTGCAAGTGCCAGACATTTTTATCTCTCTTAAGCGGCAGGAGGTAACAAACCGGCAATATTTTTTCTTCTCTATACAAATTTAAAAGGTTTCTCTTAAAATGCTGTGTTGCCATGACACCTGGTTTCACCTGAAGCTAACTACTCTCAAACCTTGAGTTAACCAATACATTTCTTTTTCTTATGGAAATGTTGTCTTAAGCTATGTTAATGTACCCCAGACTCTATCTTCAAGTTGGTTCCGCCAAATGGCCCAACCTACTTACTCAGGTATTGTTCCCCTAATCTATGTAAATGAAACTGTTTGTTGCTAATCTGCCCTTCTACAAGCTTCAAGTCAGTCCTTTTATGGCCAGGGATGAATTATTTGGTACCACTCTAAGATTTATGACTTTCCTTTCTTTTCATTAACAGATTGTGAGTGACTATATAACAATAATGTATCCTGCCCGAGGACAGTCTTTGGATTAAACCCTCTTGCTAATTCTGTTATCTTAAAACATAAATTATGGGAGTAGGTCTGGTCTTTACAAGGATGTATCCTGCCTGAGGACAATCTTTGGATTAAACTTTCTGGCCAACTCTGTTATCTTAAAATGTAAATTATGGGAGTAGGTCTGGTGAGCTCTTTACAACCTCCAGACATTCTTTGGATTCATTGAAGAGCATATAACTCCATTGCTAACACTAGCAAAGG